AAGCACTGAAATTCTGGAGCTTGAATGGCTCATCCTATCGAAGACCGACGTCCGAGGGGCGGGTTTAGGCTCTTTTTGGTCTTGTTCAATGCTCACGCTGATGTGTTGAGCGCTAGCTTTCTTCACTTTGCTTGAAATCTTCACGGGTGCATTTGGTGTGAAGCCAAGTCCGGCTTTGTTGTTGTCAACTCCGTAACCATGCTCCTTCAACTTCTTTTGAGTTTTGGTGAGGTTACGTTCTTTGTCATTGACAGTGTTTGAAACCTTCTTTCCAGCCGCCTCAGAAGAAGCGAAGTCGTACCCGGCCTTTGACATGAGTTTGTAGGCGTTTGGGTCGAATCCTTCCTCGGTCCTCTTGGTTGGAAGAAAGCTTGATTCCACCTTCTTTGGTAGAGCTTTTATGAAGCCTTGTGGTAGTCTTGCGGCCTTAGCACCCCCTAACTGTGTCAGAGGCAAAACTGCATTCGTCTTGAGCAACTTCACATTATCCGTGTGCCACTGTGTGTCGACTTTTCTTGTTCCAGTTTCGAATGGAGATTGACCATTCTTTCTTCTTGACATCGGGATATACCGGAATATGGGTGCGTTTGGTCCTTCTGACGGCATCCTACTCCTTTTGGTTGTTGCAGGTTTAGCAAACTCGTCATCATCTTTGCTTGAAGATGGCACGGCCTGCTCTTTTTGCTTTTTAGGCATGGCTTGCCACTCCTGCTTTTTAGGTGCTGCTTTGCCCGTGGATTTGATCTCTTCCGGAAGAGCTTCGGGTACCATGTCTTCGTCCATGTAGAACTTGGCGTCTGCAAAGTGTGATTCGGCTTCGGTGAATGGCTTAGTGTCACCTTGGATCACCTTCACTCCTTCTCGGTAAAATTTTAGGCATTGGTGAAGGGTGGACGGCACTACCCCATTTGCGTGGATCCAAGGTCTTCCTAAGAGCAAGCTGTAAGAAGTTCTTGCATCAATCACGTGGAATATCGTGCTTGATTTGAGCTCACCAATGGTCATCTCTACTCGGATCGTGCCCATCGCCCTTTGTCCTCCTTGGTTAAAACCCTGGATCAGCAGACGGCTCAGGGATAGCTCATTCACCTTGATGCCGATTATGGTCATTGTTGATTTCGGCATGATGTTTATGGCCGACCCACCATCCACAAGCATGCGGTTGACTTTGTATTCCCTTACGTACCCTGAGACGAAGAGAGGACGGTTGTGAGGCTTTGATCCCAGCAGTAGGTCTTCGTCAGTGAAGTTAATTGTGTCATGGGTGGCACAACATGTGGCACATTCATGTGGCTGAAGCTTCGAGCCTTCGTCGTTACTTTCTCGCACTTCGTGGTCGTCGGGACCTGCCAGGACTGCTGCTAGTGCTCTTCGTATCTTTTTTGGCAATGGTAGCGCTTCCTCGATGCTAAAGTGTGTTGGTAGACCTTCTTCGGGTGTGAGGGTCTTTTCTACCTCAGTGGCGATAGCTTTGCCTTTTGAGGGCTTTTCTATTTCTACTTCAACCATGTGACAGGCCACAGTAGTGCACTGTTGGAAAAAGTCATTCGGGAAGTATTCACGCAAGGAAACGGGAATGCGTGGCTCCTGCTCCATAGGTTCCCCAGCATATGTTGTCTTATCATGCTTTATGCTTCTTTTAGGCTTCGCATTGTTGCGGCCGTGGTGATTTCTTCTTTGTTCCACCTTTGGCTGTATGACTCGTGGTCTTGGTTTCTTTGTCTTTTTGTAGGTTACCAATATCCATCCTTCTTCATCATCAGCATGTGCATCTTGGTCGCTTCTCTCCAGTGATGGTTGTGTAGGAGGTGCCGTGCAACTTGAGCATTCACGGGAACGGTCAGGTGTCGTTTGGAGAGGCACAGGATTAAACGATCCAAACGCAATTGTAGTGGTATGCGTTGCGGCCGTGTCTTCAAGGTCGAGCTCAATTTGCCCTTGTTGTGCTAGCTTCATGATGAGTTCTTTAAGAACGAAGCACTTGCCAACAGGATGGCTCACAATACGATGGTACTTGCAGTACCTAGGATCGTTTGTGCGATTCATTTCTTCAGGACGCTTGCATTCGGGTAGCTCAATCACCTTTTTTTCCAGCAAGTCATCTAACATGGCAGCCATGTCAGAGTCAGGAAAAGGGTACGTTTTCTGTTCCAACTCTCTCAAAGTGCTCTTGTATCTGTCTTGGATGCGAGAAGGCTCACTTGTCTTTATCTCCTTCCCTTTCTTCTTGGAGGAGATCTTGATGGGCGCTGAGGAGGTCTTGATGGGTGCTGAGGAAGTCTTGACGGGGGTAATGTTGACGGTGAAAGCTTCCTTAGCGGGTTTCTTCCCAGTCTTGTCTATATTTGGGGCGAATACTTTATCCTTATTGAAGTTACTAATCGGCTCCTTTTTCCCGTGATTAGCGATACTCAGCTCCATGTCGTGGGAGCGAGTTGCTAGCTCTTCGAATGTTCTTGGTTTTATGCCTTGGAGGATGTAATGTAACCCCCAGTGCATGCCTTGAACGCACATCTCAATGGCAGAGGTTTCAGAAAGCCGATCTTTGCAATCCAGACTTAAGGAGCGCCATCTATTTATGTAGTCGACGACAGGTTCATCTCTCCACTGTTTCGTACTGGTCAGCTCTAGCATGCTTACAGTACGACGAGTGCTGTAGAAACGGTTGAGAAATTCCCTTTCTAGCTGGTCCCAACTGTTGATAGACTCAGGTTCGAGGTCAGTGTACCAGTCAAAAGCGTTACTTTTCAGCGAACGCACGAACTGTTTGACGAGGTAGTCTCCCTCTGTCCCAGCATTGTTGCAAGTTTCAATGAAATGGGCGACATGTTGCTTCGGGTTGCCTTTTCCATCGAACTGCATGAACTTTGGGGGCTGATAACCCCTTGGCATTTTCAAAGCATCAATCTTCTTGGAGTAAGGCTTTGAGTACAGTACGGAGTCATGTGAGCTTCCTTCGTACTGTGTCTTGATAGTGTTTGCGATCAACTCCTGTAGCTGCTGGATAGAGAGAGATCCCATGAATACCGTTGCTTGGTCTAGCTTCGGCTTCTCTTCAACTTTCTCCGCTGGTGGCTCCTCTTCTTCGTCGTCTTCTTTCTTTAATAGGCCAACATCTGGGTCGACTTTCACGTCGGGCAGCGCATCTAGTTGGCTGACAAGTGCGGCAATCTGCAAGTCCTTCTCTTCCACAGTCCGTGTGAGCTTTGCGATTGCTTCATTCATCTGAGCTAGCTGCTCCTCGATTGAAGTTGCTCCAGTGGTCATGACTTGCATGGTTGTACTGCCGCTCGAATCAGCGTCGGAGAGTAGGGACTCTGAGTATTTCCTCGGGCTTTCTCCCCTTGATGCCCTTAGCGAGGCTAGGGTGATCACAGGCTCGTACCTCAGGTGCTCTTGTTCCTTTGACAGAGTTAATGCAGGGGCGGAAGCCGCGGCAAAAAGAGCTCTTGCTTTACTTCGGGTTGTGATGCCCGAAATACCACCACTTGCGGCGATGATGTTCTTGTTCTTTGCTTTGATTGCAGGAACAGCTTGATCCTTTCTTGATGCCATTTGCGTTTTTTTTCGATGATTTGAGGATAGAGATGAGAGGTTGAGAGGTCCCACCGGGCGTGCCAAATTTGTGAACACGAATTTTCCTTGAAACAAGAAACAAGAATACGTGTACAAAATAATATTTTGTTTGATGATTTTGGGGTTACGATCTCTCTCAAATTTGGTCCTCTGATTCTATCTTCGTAGGGTGTAGGTTTGTGGATGAGTTGTTGATCCAAAGGGCCGTCGGGGCTTGATCTAAGGATGAACAGTTGATGAACGGATGAACACTTTCTTCAAGGGCCGTCGGGGCTTGATCTTGAATAATGGTTGTGTGGATTTCTTCAAGGGCTTTTGGGCTTGATCTTGAAGGTTGATGGATGAGTGGATCTTCAAGGGCTTTTGGGCTTAATCTTGAAGAACGATTGGATGTGTGGATTTGTTGAGGTTGTTGATCCAAAGGGCCGTTGGGGCTTGAGCTTAGGATGAACGGATGAACACTTTCTTCAAGGGCCGTCGGGGCTTGATCTTGGAGGAGGATTTGATGAAGAACAAAGAGTGCTTTCTTGATCCTTCGGGATTTTCTTGAGAGCTTTAGAACTCTAAGGCTTCAAGGTTTTGGTGTGTGGAGAAATGTATTTGTGAATTGGTTGATGCTTGATACCTTGATGGAGAAGCCTATTTATAGGCTTTGAGAATGAATCACCACCACAAAATATTTTTTTCTTTTCCAAGCACCATTGCCTAATTTTCCCACTTAATGCAATATTGAAATTGAAGTGGTGTAACTTATTGCCTAATTTCCCACTTAATACCATTTAAAACTTGAAGTGGTGTAATTTATTGCCTAATTTCCCACTTAATACCATTTTAAACTTGAAGTGGTGTAACTTATGGCTTAATTTCTCACTTAACACCATTTTAAACTTGAAATGTGTATGCTTTGTCATTGCCCAAATGAGAAAAACTTGCTTTGATCCGTAATGGATTGAAGTATGTTTGCCTTGTCATTGCCCAACATGAGAAGAAAAACTTGTTTAATCCTTCAAGGGTATTTCTCCCTATTTTGTTGAGTCACACGCCACGTGTATAATTTGTACAACACGTGGCGTATGCCATGTATGCCTTGACACGTCAAAACTTTAATGCATTGGTGAACATTTGTTTTACTGAAATTTCGATGTCTACAGTTATTCAACCATAATCTGCTTGACAGTTTGATGTACCACTGGATGGCCAGCTGACATGGCTGCCACCTAGTCTCCTGATGTGGCAGCCATTTTTGTTCTCTTTGATTATTAGTCCATCTCTCTTGTTGTGACGGCAAGCTCAATCATGTGCTCTGCTCTTTTATCGTTTTCAGTAGAGCTTTGTTTGAATCATGTATAAATCGTTTAAACTTATTTGTTCCTCATTTTGTTATCTAGTTCTGTACTAACAAAATGTAGCTTGTTGCATCGCAGAGACACCATATCCTGACAACATGGAGATGGTGTTCATATATTCTGCTTTCATAAAGGGAGATCAAACTTACTTTGATATTGAGTCATCTGGTGGTGTAGATGGGACAAAACTGTATCCGCAGCAGAAATTCACGACAATCAGTCAATATTTAGACACCCTTTTGTAAGAGCTTTTTGTTTTTCCTTCAGTTTTGTAGGCTGAACTGGTTTTTAAATGTTTGATGAAGTAGATTTCAATTCAACAACTTTGGCAATGGACTTGTTTGGATGCAAATATTTAGATACAGGAAAATGTAGGAATGATACCAAAATTGTTCATGTTTTTACACATGTACGGGAGTAGCACCGTTGATTCTCATGGCTTCCAAAGTTAAATGAAACTAGGTTTTCTTCCCCATTTTCTTGGTCGTTTCTTTTTATTTTCGTTTCAGACATGTAAATGGGCAAGGAATTCGTAGTTGGGAACTATGTTTTGTTGGTTGATCATACGATTTTGCAACTTATGAAATTATTTGTTGATTAATTCAAATTTGGGTGCACAGCGGAGTGAGCAAGCTTCTCGTTAGAGTTTGTTAGGTGACTCGATTCATAGTTGGGCAGGTTTGTCACAGCATGTGCCTTATCTAAAGGCTTATCTTCACCTGAACATTGTTCATCTAAAATTTGCAATCCTATCACTTGGAAGTCAGGTATGTCACAGCAGGTCCAACTGTTATTTTCACTCGTGCTGGTGTTACCTAGTCTGTCCTAGTCAATGTTGGTTAAAAATCTAACGGTTAAAATGTTCGGAGTTTTTCATTCGCTGGAGCACCATAAAATATCTTTGCATTTAATTATGTAGGTTTGGTGTACGACACTATAAAGCTCGTCAATTTCAGAAAAACAAATGTGTTCTTTAGCCACCCCATACTGTATGCACAATGTCGTTTTTAGAGGGATTTGGACAAGCCAAGGAACAAGTTCAGATTCCTTTTTAGAAGGTTGAAAACACTGGAGCAACCACCCCTTCTAGGAATCCTCCACAACCAAGAACCTTCCTGGTCAGGTGTTGATTCTCACATCTCTGTTATAACTAAATTCGAACCTGATAAGGAATTTATTGAGCTGGACTATCTTAACGAAGAAAATACTGCCAAAAGAGAATGTTTGAAAAGACACCGTCAAGAAATGCAAGCTTTTTTAAAAAAGGATCATCTTCGATTCATGAAAGAAAAAATAAAAATTAACGTAAGATTCTTTACCTCGTATAAATGGTGTGCCAAAAAATGGAAGTTCCCTATATATGCTAACTGTATAAGTTTCATTGAAAATCAGTTTAGAACTTATACCACTAGAGAAGGGAAAGAAGAAAGGGCAATTCACCCACCAAGAAAGGCAATTCAAGAAAATAAAAAGAGAACCACCTATCCCATTGCCTCTTCGTATAAGGAAGTGCCTGAAATAACTCAAGATATCAAGTGACTACCACTGCCCTGTACAATGGAGTTTCTAAACGAACTACTCGATTCAAGGAATTGGAAACCTAGAACATCAAGTTGGAAAAGGACAGCCTGTACTTCCTTTGATAGTAAGAACATAGATAATAAACTCAGGCAAGCCATGTTTAAACCAACATACCTTCCTGACCTAAAAAATTACAAGTTAGGGAAAGCCTTGATTGAAGAAAATGATTTTGTGGATGCCCTAGCCAAGAGATTAAATTCTATGAAAATCGAGACCCTAAAGTTTCAGTAATTAGTGAAGCTGACCTCTCAGATTTAGAGGAACAATTCACCGTAACGAGTTATGAACCATGACTCAATAAGATAAAATTTGGGAAAAATATTCAGACAACAGCCCCAACAAAAAATTATTATCCTAGGCCCTCACTAGTCGATCTGCAGTTTGAGGAAAATGATATGGGAGAAAGAGTTTAATACGATGGAAGATCAATTGTTGAATGGAGCATCGATGGGGCAAACTGAATACCAAATAGTCAATACCATGAGACATATGATGATGTTCACATCAGCCAATGGATTAAATAACAACACTGATAGAGGAACTACTCAAGCCATAGTCGCATGGTTTATAGGACAACATAGAAGATGGTGGGATAGCAAAAATTTTCAGCTACAAGCATAGTGGGAGAAAATAATGGTGAGCCTGTCTTACAAGAAGATGCTGTCAATATTCTGATCTACACCATTACCCTCCATTTTGCTAGAACTACTGATCTCTAACAAGATCAGTCTAGAGAACTTCTGATGAATCTTCAATTTCCAGTTTTGTCTCATTTTAGATGGTACAAAGATGTTTTTTATGCCCAAGTTTTCATCAGACCTGATTGTTATGTAAATTTCTGGAAAGAGTTTCTTTTTGAATTACCTCCTCTCTTTGCCGAAAAGGTACGCAAATGGAGTAATGAACAAATTTGGTGGCGTCATACCTTTTTATAGATACACTTATGGTGAATTAACCAGTGGAATCTGTGATGAAGGATTTAACACTTGTAGCGACATTAAGCTTAAGAAACAACTGGAAGAGCAAAGGGCTTTCGGAAAGAAATAAGTAGTTGATTTTTGTGAACAATTTGGTTTCAAACCCATTAAAAAAATCCTCTGTTAAAAAAATAAAAAAAAAAAAAAAGAAAAGAAGAAGGTTATAAAAAATCCTATAAAAGAGAAGAAGTTGATTATCGTCCAAGAAAGCTTTACAGGACTTTTAGAAAGAAAAAAAAAAAATTATCTATTCTAAATTTGCAGGGGAATTGGCATTGTTCATTGCTACAGTCAATTGTTTGTCCTTTGATTTCATCTTATTTACCAGAAACCCATGAGATTTGGGCTGGGTTTGAAGGGTAATTATTACAACTTAGAAGGATAATTTTGTCAACAGGGTTTAGGACGGATTACCCCTTCATTTCACCTTATTTACAAGAAACCCATCAGGTTTGGGCTGTGTTGGTAGGGTAATTATTAGAACTTAGAAGGGTAACTTTGTCCATTGGCCCATCACTTCGTTCTATCTTCGGCACAGGCAAAGCCATGCCGATCCTGGCATGGGCAAGTGAGAGGGCGACAGTGAGAGAAAGTGAGAGTGACAGTGAGAGAAAGAGAGATTTCAAGGATTGGTAGTTTTCCTCTCATCTCTGTCACACTCAACCTCTCTCTAACCCTTTCTTTTTCACTCTCTTTCAGACTCTCCCTTTCTCCCAACTCTCCATCTCTCTCAACTTTAGTCCTAACCCTAATTTGTTCTTTCATTCCTCAATTTTCTCCATCTAAGCAACGAAAAATCGAACTGGGTTTTCAAATTATTGATGCACAGGGATTCACGGACAGAGAAAGGAGAGAGAGAGTTGATTGAGGGAGTTGGTGAGTATGGGCTTGCACAGAAGGAAGAACGCAGAAAGAGAGAGAGGGAAAGAGAGAGGGAGAGAGACAAAGAGAGATTGTGGAAAGAGGAGGATGACGAAAATTGAGGAGGAACCCATGTCTGCAAAAAGTGAGTAAGTACTGAACCAAAGCTTATTTTCTTTAATGTATTTGTGATTTCTTTGTAGGACGCTACTGCAACACTCAAGTCCGTTTAGAAAACAGAGAGCGCACGACTTAAGGATCTCGGGCCCAAGGTAAAATGTAATAATCTCTGACTCCCTTTACTGATGTACGCTTGCATGCACTAAATTTGTGAATTTTACTTATGCATGTGCATTCTCTGTCCCAAAAAGTTTTTGGATCCGAAGCGGTCAGGATGCTATGTTAGGAAGGTTAATTTTGTCCTATGGGTTTGGGATGGATTGGGATGGGTCTAAGTGGCTGTCATTCGATGAGGGTTTGGTGAATGAGAGCCATGCCGCCTTTGAACAGAAGGAGAGGGAGGGAGTAGTAGGTCGTGTTTTATCGTCTTCGCTGCACCATTAGTTTGATTGCCTATCCCTAAGTATTTAAGTCGTGTTTTATACTTTTTCTTTTTTTCTGGAAGATGACTTCTGAATCCTATATTAATGAGATGCTTAATCTTCAATCCTGCTTAGTAGCAGCGATCACCGCCTGTTTAATGAAAGGTACAAGTGAAACGGTTGTTAATATTTGGGAACCAACAGAGCTCTCCTTATTTTGGGGGTTTGTTTCTGTTTTTGGCAGAAGAACGATTTGGAGCAAGTGACTCACAAAGTTAAACTTCGATATCGAAATTAATGGAAACCCATTGGTATGATTTCTTCATCTGAAATTTTTGATTGCCTAATTGGTTGTTTCATCAATTAATTGTGTGCAAACGTATATGTGTAATTTTTTTATTTCTTCCAATTAAATGGTAAGATCAAATTAAGCTAAGAACTTTGGGTTTTGTAAATGTTGTGTAATTAAATTATTCATATTATCAATTAATTTTGAGCAAACATTTTTGGATAGTTAATTTCCTTCAATATTTGATAATAATTCAATTAAAGCTGAGAACTTTGTATTTTGTTCATCACCTGCCATAGATTTTACTTGGCTGAGAAAATGTAGTTTCCTTGATATTATTCATGTTTTGTTTTCTTTCAGAATGCATTGTAATGGGTCTCTTTGGAAAAATAGTTCTTAACACCAATTGTGAGGTTTGTTCTTATATGGTACATGACTATTTTTATATTTCTTTTACACGGTTGTTAGTATTTGTAGTTGTGATTGGTGTTGTCCTACATGTTTGAATTTGGATAGTCTAGGGTTTCTGATGAGTTTTCTTTTTGTGGTTAAGCCTGGATTTCCCGAGAAAGTGAGAGATTGGATGGAAAACAAACAATGCCTGGATTTCCTCTTTGTACTACCTGTTTGGCTGTTTCTTAAAATTAAATCGTAGCAAGTATAAATCAACTCTCTCTGTTTGTGGGTTTGGATGGAATCTGTATTTCCTTCTTGCATTTTAATTCTTATCATGTGTTTGGTTTATAAGAAAATGTGATAATCAGGAGGGTAAAGCGAGGGATTGGATGGAAAACAAACAATGCCTGGATTTCCTCTTTGTACTACATGTTTGGCTATTTCTTAAAATTAAATTGTAGCAAGTATAAATCAACTCTCTGTCTTTGTGGGTTTGGATGGAATCTGTATTTCCTTCTTGCATCTTAATTCTTATCATGTGTTTAGTTTATGAGAAAATGTGATGATCAGGAGGGTGTGATATTTCTTATTAGAGAAATCTTTACTTAGCAATCAAACAGGATATTATTGTTTCCAAAATATTCTCTGAATTTTCATGGGTTATTAGGTGAATATGTGACCGTAGTGATTTGAAAGAACTTGAATGTGTGACTAACTTTGATGAATTCTAAACTTGCCGACATTCTTTCCGGCAATGACAAGGATCGTGGGAACGCTTGGTCCAAAATCACAATCGGTTGAAACAATCTCCGATTGCTTGAAGGTAGGAATGTCTGGTATTGCTCACCTGCTATGTTTAATTTTCATTGTTCATATGCCTGATTATGCTTTTTATTTTTGCCATCTCCCTTCATCTATAATACTTCAGGAAAAGGATAATAAACATTGTCTGAGACTTATGTACCTCTGTTTTGGTTGTACAATTCGTTGGAATAAGTTAAAGGTAAGGGTCACCAAATCATACTATTTCTTGGCTGAACACGATGAAGCAAATTCTCTTCATTTACATTCTTGCATTTAAATTTGCAAGTCAGTTTATCGTAAATAATATTCAATTTTTGTTGTTTTCAATTCTACTAAGTTGCAGTTTTATCATCTATTTGTAAAATCCATTTAGACTCACAATTTTTTTGTGTGGTAAAACTTAAATTGAAGCATTATGTATATCCAAGATTGAAGGAGAAATTTAAGTTAAATTAGATGGACACCCAATACTAGGGGTGATGTTGGCAGGGTTGTAACCATATCAGTAGTTGATTTCATAAATTAAGTGAAATACAAGACTAACCCAACATGTATCATAAAATAATGTGGAATTACTTTTTTCTCTCTCAGTACTCAATAAATCATTCCTCGCTTGGCCAAAAACGATAGATTGTCCCTCATGATGTGCTTTCCATGTTTGAATGTTTTGTTCATTTAGTTTCAAGTGTTTTCTTTTTGTGTATGAGAACATCTTAGTAATTCATTGTTTTTTCTTTCCTCTAGGTGGTACAATACTTCTATCGATGATGGTCATTATTTTTCAAAGAATGCTATCGAATTTCAAGATTGAAAATTGCTGGCTTTCAATCTTTTTGAACAAGTTACCTTTGTAAGGTATCAAAACTATAATTTTTCTATAGCAAATAAAATTCTTTCCTTCACTATGGTAATTTTGTTTAGATTAGCTTCTGTAACTTAGGAATAATGAATGTCACAATTGATAATAAGTTGATACTTTGTTCGGAGCTTAAATTGTAGATCTGTGCAAGATATCCATATATGGATCAATGCTACAGACTCTTCTCAACCTATGGACCTCAAATTTTAGTGCGTCTTCCATCATTTGTCATACCTCACTATGTATGCAGCTATTACATTTGCAATCATATTAATTCCTTGAAAACAATATTTATATTTCTCAGTAAACTGCTAAATTTGGAATATACTATCGTTTCCTTGCTGGTACATCGAAATGAAAATATGAAAAGTAGTCTTAATCCCGCCTAAGGGTGTTGCAGGCCGATTTGATGCTACGAGGCACTTCGTTTAGGTTTATCTGAAGGAGAGAGGTGTTGGGTGTCTGAGACAAGGGGTTTCAGGGATTAGATTTGGGTGGGATTTCAAGGATTAGGTTTTGGTGGGATTTGACAGATTAGGTTTGGGTTTTTGTTTGTGTGATTGGCAGAGAGATGAGGCGGGGTCCAAAATAGGATTAGGAGATTTGGTTTAGCGTTTGTAGAGTCAGAGATAAGGGGTGTCCAAGAGAGATGTTGGAGGATTTAGGCGAGGGATTTCAAGGATTTAGTTTAGAACTAGCAATGCTACCCGCGCGATGCTGCGGGTTTTTAAATAGCATATAGCATGTAGAAAGTTATTTTTACAACTCTGCCTAACTCAAGAAATAGATAAAAGTTTGTTTCTCACCGAAATATACGAATTTGAATCTTAGTGGTGAAACACAGAAAAAAAACATAACAGTTCTATGAATTGTATAGAGAGAAATGGTCACAACAATTTTAGCCTATTACATTTATGGTTCAAGTTTTGAACAAATAATTAGTTTATCGGCAAGGATTGGATATAAAGAAACATAACAGTTCTATGAATTGTAAAGGAGCAAATATGATGAAAGACATACCAAGATTTGATGGTCATATGTTGAGAAAAGTTCACATCGCTGATTGACGTATGGTATTTTCAATAGATGAACGGTCGAAGTTGCAAGAAAAAAAAAGAATCAATTTATGAGCAGTTGGAAGAATCATTATTTGTTAAAAAGGTGTTGATTCAAATATAAACAAATGAAACTAATTGTAAAAGAAAGGCTTATCGAATGTTGCTCTAAATTGAGTTCAGAATGAGTGTAGTTGTGGAAATTCTGTGCAACACTATGTTGAAGACATGTAAAAAGTAGATCACAGAATATTTACATCACCGTAAACAAAGATGTTGGAAGTGGTTTATATATAAAATATTAAATTTGTACAATCTAGATACAAAAGATTAAAACCTATTTCTTTACAGATAGACAAAAAAAAAAAAACATAAAGTGATTGATTGGATTCTACCACTTGCATCTACCTCTCAAGTGGAACCAGCATGTTTACATGGCAGCCAAATATTATCAATATTGTTTGATACATATTAACAAAAAACGGTTACTGCGTTTCAGTATCGGAGATGAGTTTTGGCACTGCATCGTTCATCCTTAAGCAAGCAAGCTAGGGAAAAGAAAGAAAATAATACAGTTAGATGGATATTAAATATATATCAAAATAAATGTAGAGCTAAAAAAGAAGCCATGTTTAAAATATAGCAACCTAGTTGGTTTTTTCAGGAGTGGTACCAAGTTTTCCGCTAGTTGGTGACGATTTCGTTTTGAGCAACTTTGTTGGAACTTCATCAAACTCCCTTGGATCCGCCTCTGAAACTTCTTCCATTTCTCATTGTTGGTGAAAAGAGTCCTCTTGATTGATTCCCTCTTCCTTTTATTCGATTGTTCAGTAGTTTCAGCACTTGAAGTAGAAGACTAAACCGTCGTGGAAGACCTTGTGATTTCTCTTGGCAAAGGCAGTGGAGTTGCTGGTTGCATGGTTGTATCGTCGGTTACATTGTGAATGAGGACATTGCTTGGATTGATATTATTTCTTCTATTTCCAAACCGCAGATGGAAAACTTTCTTTTGCCCGATTAGTCTAAGAAATTCATTTGGTAATTGCTGATGGTCCACCAATGTCTGATTCAGAACCAAATCTTTGCAGCTCATGCCAAAAAGTTTTTCACCACATTTTCCAATTATCAAAGCATCAATCTCATTGGTTTCATCTTCGAGTATCAGATTGACCTTATACCTACATTTAAAAACCTAATGTAAGATCACAATGAAATATCCAAAACAAAAACAACCATGAGAAATTTAGGTGTTTAAAAAAATATCAATAGTGAGATTGAAAAATTACATACCATTGACAGAGCGAAAAATTAATTGATTCTAAACTGAAAAGCGCAAAGTAAAAAAAATTCAACTCATGGTATACATAGTAACAAAATTGCAGCACAACATGTTAAATATTACCAAGGTGTTGGAATTTGATTTGGGTGTTTTTGACAAATTAGCTGTGCAGTTGTTGGGTCCTTATGCATTTGTTTTACACAAATGGGGCAGGCACTATACCACCAATCGTAACGTGTGTCAAAATGCTTCACAGATGCTTTACATAGAAATGTCTCATCTTGTAATATATTTTGTCATATATGTGTGAAACTGACAACAATCATATGCATTCTTTTTATTGAATGTGTGAAATCACAGTTGCAAAATTTTAAGGGAACATTAAAAGGGATAATCAAGTTTTAAACCTTGTACAAATCTGGATCCAAGAAAGCCAATTCATTAATTGTAACTTTTTTCGCAGTCTGTAGAAGTTTAGCTTCATTTGCCTGGTCTGAAGACGGAGGCAATATTTTTGGAAATTCTTTGCAGTTGGAAAACCTGCATGATTGAAAAGATCACATTGTTTGAACAATATAGAAATAGCATATGTTTTCATTCAAGAATAATAGATATATCATTCTTTTGTTCCAAAAATTAGAAATATACTTACACTGACTTGTAGGAATTCACTTTCGGGATGTCTGGATCAATGAAAAAAAGTGATGAACCGGTACTGTTTAAGACAATCTTTCCTGCACATTGAAATCATGGCAGAAAAAAGGTGATGAAACACAAATCATGACGGATACAGTTTAAAATTTGTTTTAATAGCTGCATCATTGTATCACAAAAAGTAATTAAAAAAAAAAAAAAAAGGGTACGCATGGCATACAGATGATATTTTTTGTGAAAATTTTAATAAACTGATAACAAAATTAATTGGGACATGCAGTGGATTCCTAAGTGAGTGTTCGATTGAGAATATAGTTTTAGTTATTTTGTAATTGTCAGTCGAGACTATCAATAGCTTAATCAACTAAATATATAAAACTGGAGAAAGTAGAAAATAAGTAGAAGTATGACAAACAACAATCATTGAGCACCAATATATTCAGATAGCTGCAAATTGACTGGTTAGAAAGGGTGGCAATGTAGAATGACTAATTGTAACAAATAAATATAATAAAATCCAACAATGGTTAAACACCAAAAGAATTTAAATGACTTAGTATAGACAGAGAACAAAATAAGGATGCAAAAGATTAATTTTAAATTAAATGAAATACCTAGGTAGCGTCTGACTTTTAAACTTGTGAAAACAACCACGACTGGCAGCGAAAATGCCTCTATTGACAAAGAAGAAAAAGCTTCACCAATGTCTGCCCATAACGTAACCGTGAGTTCTTCTTTTCTGTAGATCAAAAAACTCGCAAGTAAAAATTTAAATTTTTACAACAGCAAAGGAACAAAGACAGAAGACAATTTAGGCTAATAACAATAAAAGGTGAAAAATGACCTTATATTCTGAATGTGCACATCACATTTGTATGCAACCCTCTGATTAATCTGTTTTTCTTCCAAGGACTGTACGGCTCTTATACAACCGATAACATCTTATAATTTAAAACATAAATATAAGCACATTGTTAAATACTACTTTAGAAAATAAATACCAACGCGTTTGAATGGATTTATATGCATAGACATGTTAACAGTACCTGTAAGGATGTCAACCCTGTCCAAGCGAGGGTAAAGTGTGTTGTAATCTTGTAGAAAGAACCGATGGCGAGGGATGGGTGGAAACACACTGGCCAATTTTTTAAATTTTGTTACCGCATTAAACAAAACTTGAGTTTCATGCGGGACTACTTTGTATTGTCCCCTGATTTTACTGGTACGGAAATCAATGATTTCATAGCATCCACCAGCTTCAATCTTCGCAACCATAACATTATACTCAACATTTAATGTGGTCGCCTCAATGGCATCTTGCTTCACAATTTTTCATGCCAAGACAGAGAAGGAAAAAAAGTTACAAAAGTAATTAAAAAATAAATAAAAATATAGATTATACCATCAATAACACAAAGAACAACACACTTATCAAATTGTTAGCATGAGGAAAAAGAATTATTGAAAATAGTTAAATTATTTTAATCAACACTTGAAAAGAAATGTATGAATGCCAAAAAATTTAAGAAAAAAAATGTAACACCATGAAAAAAAGGTAAGAAAATAAAAAAATTCATAAAAAAAGGTAAGAAAACACTGATCTGTTCATTTTGTGTAACACGGCATACTTAAATTTTATTCCCCAACATCTAAAAAATAGGGGTAGAAAAATATTTTCTGGCCAGTTAATTATTAGTATTACCGTCTTTGATTAAAATAATGAATCAATAATCTCACCATTTCATCAACTAATATACAGTTCAAAGCTGTATATTTTTGAACAGTGCCTGGGATTGTCGATTTCCATATCTTGCATATTCGGATTTTGATTTTTTTTGCTTTCGTGTATGGTTTTAACTGATGAATAGGAGTTGGCTGTGTGTTTTCCATTTATCCTGCAACAATGAAATTTACATAATATGCCACAAATTTATCCAAAAGCATAAAAAAACACTGAAAGGAAAACTGAAATCATTTGTTATTTGTCCATCCATGTTTGGGAGGAAAAATTTAACAGCTTAATTAATAACCAAAAGTAATAACAATTAGAATAGAGAACCTATAAAGTTAGAATTCAATTAAAAAAAAAAGATCTAAAACCCACACCTGAACAGATTCCTAAGACGAATCAGTCAAGAATTGGTTTTAATTTAGTCATTTATGTCCAGACAATCTTCCCAGCACACAGGAAAGACAGTCTGACACTGGTTGAGTGCATCAGTTTGCAAATGATGACCTTATAAATTCAAAGAATTCCTTATGCATACATATGGTTGGTGGGAATTAATTTTAATAATCTTGTCATGTAATACTATGTAGCTAATTGTTGGTGTAACCTGATTTACTTGTATGTATCAGTACGTATAACGTGATTGTGCATAATATGTATAAAGATTTTGAGATGGAAGTTGCATGCTTCTAAGTCAAAGGTATCTGCACGAAGGGTGAATAGAGGTTTCATTGGCTTCAAGAGCTTGCCATTTTGTGTTTGCTAAAAATAAAATGAGAATCAAACGACACAGTCATACTTAGAATGTCAACACAGAAAATGACAGAGTCATACTTAGAATCCCAACACAGAAAGAAAAACCCTACTATTCTATAAGTCTCACCCCCATAAAAAATCGAAAGGAAATAGTTAGCTCTAAACCTTCAAAATCGGTAAACCCAAATTCAAACAAAAAACCTAACTCTAAAAACAAAATTAAAAACAAAAAAGGGCAACCAATTGGAAACCTTCAAAATCAACTAAACCCAAATTTAAACAAAAGACGTAAATCTAAATACAAAATTAACAAAAAAATAAGGCAACAAAAAAGACACAACTAACCAGAAAACAACAAGACTTGAAATGCCAAGAAGGCGGTGTGCGAAGCGCTAGAGCAAGGATAAGAAGATGAAGACAGAAAACTGAAAACAAAACAAAAAGAGGCGAGAGAGAAGCAAAAAAACGAAAGGAAAAAGTAAACAAAGAAAGGAGTGAAAACGAAACAAAAAGAGTAAAAATCCTCTGAACAGAAATACTGCTGATGATCAACACGTGGACAGCATCTACTGAAAAAGCAGAACAAAACGCCAAAAAAAAAAAAAAAAAAAAAAAAAGAAAAAGACCAGAGACGGAGGAATGAGATATGCGCTGGCAGCAAGGACAAATGAGAGAGCAAACGTGCGGGAAAGAAAAAAAAATTAGAAAAGAAAAGCTGAAAAGCCGAATGCAAGAGATGATCAACACGTGTCTGCCCGCGCAGTATATATATATGTAATTTTTTTTTTCCTTGCACTTCACATTATGACCTCACACTTTCAGATTAGACTATCTTCTCTTATATATATATATATATATATATATATATATATATATATATTTGCGACTTTGCATTTATTAGACTCACACTTTCATATTAAACTATCTTTTCTTATATATATATATATATATATATATATATATATATATTTCTGTGACTTTGCATTTATTAGCCCTTTTTCGAGGAATGAGCCTTCGTTACTACCACCACGCAACTGCAATGGCATCCCTGATTTCTGTCTTTTTCTTAAATGGAAGGGAACGGTTGTCCATCAATTTTCTTAGTATGCTAAAAAAATATTAGAAAACAAAAGCCAAACACACCAAACCAGTTTTTCATATTTTTTAATCAATTTTTTTTTTCTCTCTAACCAATATCTTTATCATTTTACATAACTGTGGCATCTGTCTTTTGTGGTATCCTGTCCTCTGTCTTTTCAAGAATGGGTCTTCTCATTTATTATCTCATTTATTATCTAACATATTACTGTTAATACACAGTAAAATTGTCAGAAGTTAAACCCGGCACATGGTTTGTGGCACCAAAAAAATATAAAAAATTACAAAGACCCACAAATGATGGACAGGTGGATAGAATGGGCAAACCCGATGAATCACTGTGCGAAATGGAAAAAAGCACATTGCAACGGCACCAGAAAGGGGAAAGGGCAAAATGGCCAACTCACTGCACAATTCCAAAAAAGGGCAAAAAATTGCTCAGCAAGCAAGGGACAAAACCGGGTGGGCACTGTTAATGAACAGTGCCAATCCACCGGCTTTTAGTATATATAGAATAAATAATATAATATAATTTGTCTTTCAGGGAAAGGAGGAGGATTCTAGGTTGGACAAAGCAAGGAGCAGGGAGAAAAAGGAGGGTGCCCAAAAAAGCAAAACGATTCTAGGGTTTGATGGAGCCTGCAGCCAGTTGAAGCGGTGGAAAGGATGAACACCGAGTCGAAGAGAAAGAGGGAAGAAGCAGCTTACCCACGCGTCCCATTTTGCTCTCCGTTTGACAGCAAAGCAATAGGAAAGGGCACAGGTACGTGTGGGCAAAAATTGGAGGGATTGCGAGAAACGATGTGCGGAAGAAAGGAAAGATGTGATGAACAGTGATGGGGAACTGTTCCAGATGCATGATATTGTGTTTTTAATTATTTTTTTCTGGTGACAGACGCCCTCTCTCATAATCCATGCTCATCTTTTGTTTCTCTCTCTTTCTTTTTCCCTTTTTCTATTCTTTTTTTTTTGGCATGTTCCAGATTTTTGTTTTTTTAATGATTTTTTAGTGGAAAGGCATGCATCATTGCTGCCAGGTGTGAATTAGGTAAGAAAAAAACGCTGGAATCGAGGAGGGAGTCTAAATGAAAAAAAAGATACACAGGATACCAACACATGTGAAACATGGCACCTCGAGGGCCAAACTCGTCATTGTACTGTGTAAAAGACCAAAAAAGCAAGACTTGAAGAGCAACTGAAGGGCAAAATTGGAAAAATACTGGCAAATGAACAGTAAAAAGGACACAAAGGGAATTAACTGAAAAGTTAGACGTTTAGTATATATATAATTTGTTTTCTGCGATTTGCACAGACAAAGAGATAGGACAAGGGTGAGAAAGATGGGAGGATTTTCTGCAAGGGTTGAAGGGAACAAGTAAAGGAGGTATGGGTATGGGTTTGTTGTGATGGGGTTTAGTAATTTCCAATATTCTTCGACTCTTTTTAATCTGCAAAATCAAATTACCTATAGAATTTATAACATGCAATAAGTTTCTTTTTAGTTGAGTTCAAATAATGTTGATTGCGCTGTTATAAAGCTCTTTTTTATAGTTAGGTTGAAAATCATATTGATATATTCTTTATTTAGTTGGTCCAATCTGTAACAGATGAGATTGTTTTGTTTGATGTTTCAATCAAAATTTGATCTTTATTTTTTTGTGTGAAATTATAATGGAATTGCAAAGTATATCTTAGATTCTTGGTTGCATACTCACCTTCCCACAACTATTATATTGTCTCTTGGCTGAATGGATTTTTATAATTTCCTGGATCTACGTTTACAATGCTTTTTGTAATTTTGCTAAATCTATCCTTTTTGTTCGTTCATGATTATGTTGAATGTTTTTCAGGTTAAATGTGTCTTATTCATGTAGTTAAGGTTGGTGCATTCAAGTCCCGCAGCATCGCGCGGGCATATTACTAGTTATTCCTAAAAAGAAAGGAAATAGTAGTAAGGAAAAACCTCTTGTGTGCTATAAGTGCGGAAAAGTTGGACACATGCAGAATGAGTGTAAACTGAAGGATATGATTAATAATCTTAATCCAAACGAAGGTTTAAAGCGATAATCTTAATCTATACGAAGTATTAAAGCGGTAATTGTGTCAGTTAATGCTTAGCTCTTCTGATTCAGAGGAAAGTGACAATGAAATAGTACTCTTAAAAATGCAAAATTATTTGAGTCAATTTATTCCGACTCAGACGAAGATTGCCATTGCAATTCAAAGCTTTGCATAATAACAAAAGGAGAAAGTCTCGTTCTAGACTTAATAGATAAAATAGAAGATCCTCTCACAAAAAGAGAAACTCTAGAAAAATACTTAGATATGGTTAGTGAAAAACCATAAGAAAACTTTCGAGAAACAACCACTCAATGTTTATAGGTTCAAGACCATAGCTAATAGGATAGCTGAAAGCAATAATAAAAGAGAACCTACTCTTAGTGGTTTGCATTTTGAAATAAAATGCTAACAAAAAGGAATTAAAAGAACTAAAGACAAGAGTGGTGATACTTCGAGCAAAAAAGAAACTGAAACTGAGATTCAAAAAAATGATGGGAGACTTTACCGAAAGAAAGAAAGAACCAGTCCTCAAGATGTGTTGGGGGGGTTCTACTTTAAAATTTGTTAATGAAATTGATAGGGTAATAGCTCATAAAATGGTCTCCTATTACTTTTGTTATTAACAAACA